GAAAACAGACTAATACACCAGTCATGGGGGATTAGGGTCTACCCTAATGACCTCATGTTAACTTAATCACCTCCTTAAATAATGTAGGGGGTCCTATCCAACAAAATCAGTATTCTGGGGGCTGAAGTACCTGAAAATGGGAATAACTGATCTGTGCAGAGAGGTCCCTTCCACCAGGGATTAGCAATTCAAGGAGGTTGAGAGTTGTCGTTGTTAGTTCCTGCTGCTATAACAAAATACCTTACACCTGGTACTTATACTTATGAAGAGTAGAAATTTCTTTCTAGGCAAGAGGATTGCTTGAGCCCAGGGCTTTAAGATCAGCCTGGGAAATGTACCAAGACACCATCTCTACAAAAAATAAAAAAAAATAGCTAGGTGTGGTGGCTTGCACCTGTAGTCCTGGCTACTCAGGCTGAGGCAGGAGGATCACTTGAGCCCAAGAGTTCAAGTCTGCTGTGAGCTATGATTGTGCCACTGCACTCCAGCTTGGGCAACAGAGTAAGACTCTGTCCTCAAAAAAAAAAAAAAAAAAAAAAAAAAAGAAGAAAGAAAAGAAAAAAGAAATTTATTTCTCTTGCTTCTGCGAGGCCTGGATGTCCAAGATCAAAGTGCCAGCAGACTTGGTATCTGGTGAAGGCCCAGTCTTGCCTTCATAGTGGCACCTCTTCCTATGTCCTCACATGGCTGAAGGGCAAAAGGGGCTGGCCAGTTTCCCCGATCCCTTTCAAAAGGGCACCAATCACCTCCTAAAGTCCTCACCTTTTAATACTATCACACTGGTGATTAAATTTCAACGTATGAATTTTGAAGGGACACATACATTCAAACTATAGCAAGAGTCAAGTGGCCTAAACTTGTAGGCAGCGATGAATGCCCCACTCCATGCTGAAGTCCCAGCAAAGGCAGGGGTCCTGCCAGCCAACCTGAGAAAGTCCCTCCAGGGCACGCTTCCTGCCTGAGAAGCTGGATGTCATCCCAACTGTGAGAGCCATCTGTCCCCTCAGCTGTGACCTGGGGATGGGGGCAGCAGATGAGCCCTGTTGGAGAAATAGAAATCAAGACCTAAAGGAACACACAGACTCATAAACACAAAAGTAGCAGATTTTATCAGTGAGCAGCAACAGCAAACAACAACCCAGCCCAGAATGTGGGGAGGTAGCCCCACATGGCTACAAAGCTAGAGTGGATCTCTGTTTCTATGGAATGAAAGCTACAGTTGGCTGTTATTCCAGCTTCTGTTGGTAGTTACATTGATGCAGTGTGATGTCCTGATTTTCCTACGTCTTTTATCAGTTCCTCCCGTGGCTGTCCTGGCAGTGCCCCTATAGTCACATTTTTTTGACATTCTTCAGGAGGACTAAATTCAGTTCAGTTCCTTGCAGTGTCCCCCGACCCTGCAAATATTGCACGACTCACAGAGCCAGGTTGCAGACCAGGAAGAGCTGGGGAAAATTGGAGGAACATCTTGGCCCTGGTGCCAATTGAAGGACCGTGACTCTGCAAGGCCTTAGCTTTGATTGTGGGAGTTGATGGAATGCACATATTCCACAAGACAACCATGCTTTTAAGAGAGTTGGAGGCCAACCACATCCCAAACCTGGCCAGCCAATGGTCATGACGCCCATGGCCCCGATGTTGTTCAGGGGAGATTGTGACCTCACTTCTGGCTTCACATGAGTTTAACATGCTCTAGACTTGGACAACCACCCTATTCCACCCCATTGGCTCCATAATTCATTTTGGGAAAAGTACATCAGTTTCTAGGCCAAGAAGCCTCAATTGCAATGTATCCAACAAGAGTCAGTCACAGGAGTTTTCTGGGAAATACTGTGGAAAAGGAACTCTCCTCCTTCTGGAGCCACGGAGCTGGTGGGACGGAAGGAAGTCTGCACAGTGGGAATGCATTATGCCAACTAAGGGGGAGTGCCTGCCTGAGAAAAAGGTCACAGTGGAGAGCTGAACTGATGGAGAGAGAGAAATAGGTTCCTGATGACACTGTTAGATCACCTGGATCGGCCCATGCCTGAAGCCATGATATTTTGGAGCTTTTAGTTACTAAAGCAAATACATTCCTTTCCCTTTGATCCAGTTTGACCTCAGTTTCATTCGCTTGCTGCCCAAAACATCTCCACTTATGCAGTTACCCAAATGACAATAATGTGTATCTGGGTTCCTTGGTTGAGACAGCTATAATCAGCCCTGTCTGACTTAAGGAAAAAATAGAAAGAAAGATAGACATTCATTGGAAGCCTGTGAAGGAGCTGCTGAATTGACTGGTGCCTAGAGAACAGGCTGGAGAAGTACAGGAGCTACTCAAGGGCCAGACGTGGCCAAGGCGCCTTCTCTCGTTGGGTTACTTGTGTCAGACTTCAGTTCTCTCGGAGTGTAGGTGTCAGTGGGCAGCCCTAGGCCATGTATTGGTTCCCCGTGGCTGCCATAACAAATACCAGAAACTTGGTGGCTTAACACAACTGGAATTCATTCTGTCACAGTGCTGGAGGCCAGAAGTCTGAGATGAAAGTAGGGTCAGGCTGGCTCCCTCTGGATGTTCGAAGGGAGGATCCACTCTTTGCCCCTCTCCCAGCTTCTGGTGGCTCCTGCAACCCTGGCGTTCCTTGCCTTGTAGCTGCTTCTCTCCAGCCTCTGCCTCCTTCATCAGGCAGTGTTTTCCTTTCTATCTGTGTCTGTTCACCTGGCTTTCTGATAAGGACACCTGTCATGTTGGATTGGGGCCTTCACTACTCCATATGACCTCATCCTGTCTAAGTACATCTGCAAAGACCCTATTTCCAAATCAGGCCACATTCTGAGATTCTGGTGAGTGCGGTATTTTGGGATACACCCTTTCACCCAGTGCAGGCCACGCCTATCCCCTGGTTGGATGAGATGATGAGGGTTTTCAGCAAGGGGTTCCTTACGCTTCCAGGGCACAAGGTACTGGATTTACCGGCTCATCAAGACAGGGTGGCCGCTCCTACCGAGGGTGTTCCGGTTGCTTTAGAAAGGGGATTGGACGTTGGACCCACCGCAGGCAACAGGGCCATCTGTACACGTCCTTTCTCTAGTGCATGCATTTCCAAAATATCCCTCTTGCCATGGCCAGAGCATCTGAGAACATCCTGGCGCATCCTTTGCCATGTATGTCCCCAGTCGCTGGGGGACAGCGTCCTCTGGGTCCTCTGTGGATGTGGTGAGGGGGAGAGTGCCTGCCGTGGGAGCCTCACCTGTTTTTTTCTGGTGTATTTGAGTTCTTCTCTCTACATTCTATGCGGTGGGCTTTCCGTCATCTGACTTCCCTGGCCTGGGTGAGTTTCAGATCTGCGCTAACCAGATTCTTAGGCCACATCCAACCCTGTGGGCCTGGCCGTGGAACGCAGGGGCTCTGTACACGCACACATGTGACGCATTCCATTCAATCTTCAATAACGGACGCCCTCCCCTGTTAAGCGCTCCCAAAATGTCATTCCCACAGAAATCACCCAGATGTTGAACAACAGAGTATGAAATTCCTGTGTTCCTCTCCAGCCACCCTGGGTCAGGCTGGGATCTGATCCAAGGTAAGGATGACTGTGAGGGTGGGGCGGGGGGAATCTTGTTTCCTGTAATGCAGCTCCCTGGAGAGGGCAGCAGCTCTTCTAGGAAGGCTGGGACCGCCGCCTCAGATCAGGGAGGACGACGTCCTTCAGGCACAGGAAGCCCCTGGGTGGTTCTTCACGGTTTGGCTGGTTGGGGTCAGGATCTGTCCTGTGTCTTCCGGGAATTTCCGAATATCTCCTTTTCCGTGGATGGATGTGCAGCCTCTTACAAGGAATGCCTGGCTCATAGTGAGTGCTCAGAAGTGTTTGTGGAATGAATAACAGACCCATGAAGCTGTGAGTTCCATGGGCGTCTGATCTAGCAAACTGCAGAGGGGCATCGTGAGCTGCTTTACTCGAATCAATCAGCGTCCAGGCTGCAAAAACAGGCAGAGGAGGTGGTTCCTGGGAGCCGTTCCTACCTAACCAACTCTTGGTCTTGCTTCGAACCTTTAAGCTGTCCTTGTTCATTCCTGGGCACAGGCCCAAGTAACTTTGAGAAGGAATTCAGTTCAGGGTTTGACTCTGAAACAAAATTGATAAATGTGGTATGTGTTCTGATTACACACGCTATATTAGCAAGGATCTTGCTAACAGGGGAGACCTGCTCTGAGCAGGCACCGGTGAGAACAGAACCCCCCACTTAGAATTGTACATCTGGGGATCGGAGGATTCTTCTATAAGCTAGCTTCTGATTCTGTACATTTCAAATCTTATTTCTTCTGTTACCCACTACTCCACATACTTCCTACCCTGGGGCGCTAGCAATTGCCTAACCACACACGGAGGTGATCGGAAACCACATAAATACACCTCACTAAGCCCAAACTGCACGGACCCCCTAACTCCACTTCCACTCAACCCCACCCCCCAAATACCTGTGGGCACACCAGTGCCATCTGACCTAAAGTGGAGTGTGATGGAGGTACCAGAGTAGAAGGTCTCATGAATATATCATTTTATAAGTTTTATCGAAACATAACATCATCATGTGAACAATTTCTAGGGCTCCTCCCCTTGCAAATGAGGGGCCCTGTGGTAGCCACTGACTGCTAAGAAGCGAGATGGTCCGCCTACCAACCCTCGGCTTCAGACTGGGCCACCTTGTGGCTGCCCAGGTTGCAGAAGGATCGTGAAGCATGGGGTTTGTAGTCAGAAGATGTGGGTTGTCGCGGTGGCTCAAGCCTGTAATCCCAGCACTTTGGGAGGCCGAGGCGGATGGATCACGAGGTCAGGAGATCGAGACCATCCTGGCGAACACGGTGAAACCCCGTCTCTACTGAAAATACAAAAAAATTAGCTGGGCGTGGTGGCGGGTGCCTGTAGTCCCAACTACATGGGAGGCTGAGGCAGGAGAATGGCGTGAACCCGGGAGGCGGAGCTTGCAGTGAACCGACATTGCGCCATTCACTCCAGCCCGGGCGACAGAGTGAGACTCCGTCTCAAAAAAAAAAAAAAACAAAAACAAAAAAAGATGTGGGTTGGATCCTGGAGAAAACATGGACTGTAAAGCATCAGTGACTCTTACTGGCTAAATAAGCACTTGTTAAGTGCGTGTGGCATGCGAGGCCAGTGCTGGCACCAAGCGCTCTGCTAAATGCTGGAATGACTGATAAAGAACCACCACTCTGCCTTGCATGCCTCTCCAAGACGTGCAGACCCGGGGGCCTGAGCCCTAGGTGGGAAAGCACGTGGCCCAGGAAATGAAAGCACTCAGAGGTAATTTCTCCTGCAAGGGCTGCACAGCCTCCAGCCCAGGGCAGTGAACACCCAGGGAGACCCCAGGAAGGGGAGTCCTGGCCAGGTGTACAGTCTTCGAGTCCCCAGGCCAGCATCGCCTGCCACGGCACAGAACCGTAGGCTGTGAGAGTTGATTCCAGGGTGTATTTTATAGCTTACTGATGAGCCGTCCTCTCCTGTCTCAGGATCTGACCTGTGCCCTGGCTGGTTCAAAGGTTCCATCTTTTGGGAGGAGACTGAGATTTGCTTCAGAAAGATGCCAAGAAAAAGAATAAGATCATTTTCACCTTCTGACCTGAAAAACAGGATGAGGCAGCCGGGTGCCAGGCTTGCAGGCCAGGCTGTGGTCTGGAGACAGGATCTTTCCACTTCCTGTCTTTCCTCCTCCTTCACCTCTTTAAGTCCGGGACTGACTCTGCAGGGACCTCCTGTCTTGCAGCCCCTCCCTGCAAGCCCTGAGCCTCGAGGCCGGATGCTGGGCGGTAGGAAAGGGCTGTGATGTATGGAAAGTGCAGGGAACATCGGCCTTGTTCTGGACCCTAGGTACTGTGGGAAGGAAAAGGGGAGGGAGGAGAGTGGAGCTGGCTGATGTGTGTCCCAGATGTTCCCTCTTTGGGCCTTTGGGCAAAGTGAGGGGGCCCTGGGAGGGACGGTCAGTCAGGTACGAGACTCTGGCTCTGGGGGACACTGCCTGGCAGGCTGTCCTCCACTGCCTGGGGCACTGTCCCATCAGCGTCTGCTGGAGTGACTGCCAGTGAACCCAGGCAGAGGCTCTTCCCTTCCCAGTGTAGCCTGGAGGAAAGCGAACAGGCCTGCCCTGGGTGCAAGGGGTGACAGGGTAAGGCAACTTAACAGCAAATGCCAGGGGTCAAGGGCTGGCCAGGGGTCAGAGGGACAGTGGGGCAGAGTCTCATGGCCCACAGCCAGCGAGATCTGGGTCAGCGATGGCAACACCGTTTACTTGCAGGCTGCAGGCACACCTGGGGAAAGGTGCATGGGGGCACTGCCTTGGTGGCCATTTGGTGCCACCCAAGGACCAGCATAGGGCCAAAGATCCCCCGGGTCACCCGCCCCTGCACAAAGATGCTGTCTTAGGCAGTGAAGGTGGTTGGGAGAAAACTTTCATATTCAAATGAGATGCCTGTTATCCACCCATAGATAACCAGCTTAAAGCTGGGTAGGGCTAAAAGCTAGTATTTTCCCCCAACCAGATGATCTGCTACAACCAAATAAATTGCACCTTCCCGCAGGGTTGCATTGTGAGATTCAGGACACAGGTGGTGTGGGGAGCTTTGACATGCAGGGAAGTGACCCCCACACGCAGTTGCAAAGTCCTTGGGGCTCCCCCAAGAAGGCTGGCCAGGCACTTGGCAAGGATGAGGCGGGAGGCAGCTCACGGCTCGGGAATCTCCAGGACACAGGCTCGCACAGATGGGAAGCACCTGTGGGTGGCTCTCAAGCCCCCATCTCATTGGTGCCCGTGGTGGGCGTCTCCCCACCTTCTAGCTCGGGCTCCTCACGAAGCGCCCGTTGCAGCACAGTCCCCAGCGACCCTTGCAGCCTGCGACTTCTCCGGCTGCCCACCAGGAAGTAGATGAGGGGGTTAGCGCTGCTGCTCATGGACGAAGAGAGGCGTGACAAGTTGAAGTACAGGAGCTTCGTGTCAGGCGGCAGGTTCAACCAGTACAGCACGAACCAGTAGAAGCCCAGGGGCAGGGAACAGATGAGGAACACCAGGACAGAGGCCAGGACCACCACGAACAGCCGAGTGGGCTGCCGCCGCCACTGCTGGGAGCTTCTCCGCACCCGGACAAAGAGGGTCAGGCTGGACAGAGTCATCACTGGGGTTAAGACCCCCATGATGAGGGCAGCCTGGACCACGTCCACCCGGAAGCACCGGTCTTTATTGAATTTCAGGAACTTGCTGCAGAAGCAAGAGGTCAACCCATTTGTCAGGAGACACAGCATCCAGAGCAGGGCGCACACCCAGGCTGACAGGTGCCTGGGCCGGTGACACTTGAACCAGATAGGGAAGAGGACGGAGAGACAGCGCTGGGTGCTGATGGCTGTCAGCAGGCTCAGGCCCACTGTGTAGGCAAAGTACTTCAGTCTCTTCATCAGCTCGTGGACCTTGTCAGTGGTACTGACCAGGGGCTGGGTTTCCAGGCTGAGCATGGCAGCCATGCTGAAGACGAAGAGGAGGTCAGCTGCCGCCAGGTTGAGGATATAGATGGAGAAGGGAGTCCTGCGCGTTCTAAATCCCAGCAGCCAGATCACCATGCTGTTGCCTGCCATCCCGCACAGGCAGGTGAACATGGCCAGGGAGCTCAGCACCAGGCAGGCCGTGTGCACCACGCTCCCTCTGGAATGGTTTAGGGCCAACTCTGCAGTCCCACTGCTATTCAAAGTCTGGTTCATCCCTACAAGAGGAAGATGCACCAATGTGAAATTCTGTGTTGCTGGGACCATGGGGGAACCCCTGGGAGCCCCTCGAATTTCCAGCTTCAGAGCTCTACCCTCCAGAGTCTTTATGCAACAGACCGTGGCCGGGAGGCTTAACCTTCCTACCCTCCTGTGACTCACTCAGCCCAGACCTGCCTCCAGGGTCACCTTTATACCTACAAAGCTGTTATAGATGTCTGTTACCAGTTTAAAAAATTATCCTCTATCTTGATTTGAATTATTTTTTAAATCATGGAGATGTATTGACTTTTATCAAATGCTTTTTCTACATCTATTATAGAAAAGTCATTATTATCAATAGACGTAGAAAAAATATTTGATAGAAGCATTTGATATCATTTTTTTCCTCTTGTAATTGTCAAACCCTCTGAGTTAACTAAAAAAAAAAATGACCTTGGGCTGGGTGTGGTGGTGCATGCCTGTAACCCCAGCACTTTGGGAGGCTTGCTTGAGGCCAGGAGTTTGAGATCAGCCTGGGCAACATAGCAAGATCCCATCTCTACAATTTTTTTTTTTTAATTAGCCGGGCATGGTGGCACACACCTGTGTCAGCTACCTGAAAGGCTGAGGTGTGAGGATCGCTTGAGCCGGGCACATTGAGGTTGTAGTGAGCCATGGTCCCACCACTGCACACCAGCCTGGAAGACAGAGCAAGACCCTGTCTCTTAAAAAACAAATTAGGCCTGGGGCAAAGAGTAGAATTAACTACACTCCTTAATTTAAGATGCACCATGAGCATCAGCCTGTTAAAAACCCTCCATTTATTCAACTTTCCTTCCCCATCCCATCTTAGCTGCCTTTTTCCTCCCACCACTTGCATCCATTCCAACCTGTTTCACACAAGTCCTTGGATACCTCAATGTCTTTCAAGATGGAGTGGTTGCCCATTGTGTTTTAAATTTACATAAATGTTGTGATTTAGAATTAATGATGGGTTTTTTTTTTATTTTATTTTTCACTTGACGATATGTTTGTAGGATATATCCAGGGGGCTGTATGCAAAAGTTGTGGTTTAAAATGTCATCATGCACACTGATCTGTTATCCATTCCTTACTGTGGATCCTCAGCTTGCTTCAAAATTCCCGTTATCACCAAAACACTTGTGTTGAACATCCTCATGCATGTGCCCATTGGACTTGACTCAGGATTTTTCTGGGATACATTCTTGGAGGAGGATTGCTCGGTCATAGAACATATACACATTTAGTTTCACTAAATGTTGCCTGGTAATTCTTTTTCTGAATGGCTGCTTCAGGTTTCACCTGTACCAGCAGAATAGGAATGTTCACATTTTCCCATTCTCTTACCAACACTTGGTGTTATTTGTTTTTCTAACTTTTGCCAATCTGATGGTTGCAAAGTGATATACTATAGATGTTTTAACCTGCATTTCTCTGATTACAGTGAGTTTGAGCATCAATTCATATATCTGTTAGCCATTTGGAGTTCCCCTTCTTCAAATTGCCTATTCACACCTGTTGTCCATTTTTCAATTGGGTTTCCTTTCTTTTCCTTCCTGATTTACAGGAGTTGCTTGTATTTCTAGATATTAATGCCTTGCTGGATTTAGACATCGCATATACTTTTCTCGGAGAACTCTCTGGTTTTTTTATGGCAACTCTATCTATTGTGAACTTTGGTTGGAAGACATCCTAAATTTTGGTACAGCTAACTCCTCAGAATTTTTTCCTCTGAAATTTTGTGCCTTCTAGATCTGAAAGTATTCTGTCTCTCTGGATAAAAAAATATAGTCTTGTATATTTTCTTCTATTACTTTTATAGTTTTTCCCATTCAGATTTTGGTTCTTGGATCCAACTGGAATCTATTTTTTATGAGCTTGATTTTTCCTCCATATTATGGGTCAGCTTTCCTAACAGTATCTCCTAAACAGTCTATCCTTTCCCTATTGACTTACTAAGTTCCCATTTACACATAGGACTAGGTTGTTAATTTCATTCTTCATTCTGTGTCATTGGTTCATCTCTCCGTTCCAACAACATTAACATAGTGTTTTGTTTTTTTAAATCTGTCTTTGTGCTATGTCATTTTATTTTGTGAGACGTATCTCCCTCTTTAACTTTCTTTGCCAAAATTGAATTAGCCATTTGTGAATCTTTATTCTTCCTTAAAATTTTAGAGCAAATTTTTGGAATTCCTAAAAGAACAAGACCCTCAAGTTTTCAGTAGAAGTTCATAGAACTTGCAGATTATTGTGTTAGAGAACTGTCGCATTCACAATGTTAAGTCATTGTGTCCATAGCCTGAAATGCCTCTCTGCTCTCAAAGCCTTTAAAATAATAACAGCATTGGATTTTTTTTTTTTTTTTTTTTCAAATATTGAACGGCAGACTTCATTTTGAGTGGGGAATGTTTTTTTTTTTCAGGTAGAGTCTCACTCTTTTTGCCCACGCTGGAGTGCAGTGGCACAATCTCGGCTCACTGCATCCTCCACCTCCTGGTTTTAAGTGATTCTCCTGCTTCAGCTTCCTGAGTAGAGTAGCTGGGATTATAGGCACCTGCCACCACGCCTGGCTAAGTTTTGTATTTTTAGTGGAGATGGGGTTTTGCCATGTTGGCCAGGCTGGTCTCGAACTCCTGACCTCAGGTGATCTGGCCTGCCTCGGGCTCTCAAAGTGTGGAGATTACAGGTGTGAGCCACTGTGTCTGGCCATAACATTGAAATTTTACTCACGAAAGTTCTGTACACTTTATTGTGTTAATTTTTAGATATTGTTGTAGTGGTTTTACCGGCATTGTAAATGGTATTTTATTACATCTAAAAAGTTTTACTTACTTTTTTTTTTGAGACGGAGTCTCCCTCTGTCACCAGGCTGGAGTGCAGTGGTGTGATCTCGGCTCACTGCAACCTCCAGCTCTGTGGTTCAAGCAATTCTCCTGCTTCAGCCTCCCAAGTAGCTGGGACTACAGGCACGTGCCACCATGCCCAGCTAATTTTTGTATTTTCAGTACAGACAGGGTTTCACCGTGTTGGCTAGGCTGGTCTCAATCTCCTGACCTCGTGATGCTAGGCTGGTCTCAATCTCCTGACCTCGTGATCCACCCGCCTCAGCCTCCCAAAGTGCTGGGATTACAGGCATGAGCCACTGCGCCCGGCCTACTTACATTTTTATTGGGCAGCTGATGCATGGAATTGGGTTAATAATAATACTTCTTTTTTCATGACATCCTGTTAACATTGGTTGCCCTCTTTTATTTTTTAGTGTATGTATGTTTGTATGCATATTAATGTAGGTACCCACCATCCAACATGAAAACCGTGATGTTGACAATAACTTAGTTAATTTTTCAAAGTTTGTTTAGGCTGCTGCATGGAGAATAGACTGATAAGGACAAGAGGAGAGGCTGGGAGGCAAGTAAGGAGTCTGATGCAGGTGCTAGTGGGAGCTGAACTGGGGTGGTGGCTGTGGAGTGTAGGTCATGAGAAACAACTCGGTTTGGAATAAAATTTAAAAGTAGAGTCCATAAGCCTTGCTGATGAATCGGACATTGGGAGGATTCCATTAGTTTCTGCATTCAATTATTAATTCGGTAGTTCATTCATTCAGTGTACCCCAGTGAATTCTCACCGTTGTCCAGGCCCTTTCCGTGAATAAAGTAGGCACCTACAATGTATGAGGGTTCTGACTTCTCTACACCTTCACCAAGATTTTTTATTAACTGTCTTTTTTATTGTAGCCATCCTAGTCGGTGTGTGAATTAGTATCTCATTGTGATTTTGATTTGCCTTTCCCTAATGACAAATGATGTTGAACATTTTTTCATGTGCTTATTGGTCATTTGTATATCTTTGAGGAAATATCTATTCAGATCCTTTCTACTTTAAAATTGGATTGTCTTTTTATTGTTGAACTGTTAAAGTTTTATTTACTTATTTATTTATTTTAAGAGAGACAGAGTCTCACTCTCTTGCCCAGGCTGGAGTGCAATGGCACGATCTCAGCTCACTGCAACCTCCGCCTCCTAGATTCAAGTGATTCTTCCGCCTCAGCCTCCCGAGTATCTGGGATTACAGGCACCCGCCATCATGCCTGGCTAATTTTTGTACTTTTGTAGAGGCAGGGTTTCACTGTATTGGCCAGGCTGCTCTTGAACTCCTGACCTCAGGTGATCCACCTGCCTTGGCCTCCCAAAGTGCTGGGATTATAGGTGTCAGCCACCACGCCGAAAGTTTTTTAAAAATAAAAATTGTATATATTAGACTCTTATGAGATATGATTTACAAATATTTTCTCCCACTCTGTAGGTTGCCTTTTCACTCTCCTGATGGTGTCCTTTGAGACACAAAAGTTTTTACTTTGATGAAGTCCAGTTTATCTATTTTTTTCTTTTGCTGCTTGTGTCTTTGGTGTCATATCTAAGATTCCACTGCCAAATCCAAGTTCATGGAGATTGGAGATTTACCTCTGTGTTCTTTTCTAAGGATTTTGTGGCTTTAGCTCTTATATTTAAGTCATTGATTCATTTTAAGTTAATTTTTGTAGGTAATGTATCACCTTCATTTTTGAAGGACATTTTCTCTAGATAAAGAAGTCTAGGTTGACCGTTTTTTAAATTTATCTTTTAAAACTTTAAAGATGTCATTCTGTGGTCTCTTGTCTTGCATAACTTCTGAAAAGAGCTCTGTAATAATTCTCATTCTTTTCTCCCTCTTATTTATTTATTTATTTATTTTGAGACGGGGTCTGGCTCTGTCACCCAGGCTGGAATGCAGTGGCACAATTTCGACTCACTGCAATCTTCATCTCCTGGGCTCAAGCCATCCTCCCACCTCAGCCTCCCAAGTAGCTGGGACTACAGGTGCACACCACCATGCCCAGCTAATTTTTGTATTTTTTGTAGAGATGGGATTTCACCATGTTACCGAGGCTGGTCTCAAACTCATGAGCTCAAACAATCCACCTACGTCAGCCTCCCAAAGTGCTGGGGTTACAGGCATGAGCCACTGCACCTGGCCTGTCTGGCTGTTTTAAGGTCTTCTCTTAACGTTGGTTTTCAAAAGTGTAGATATGATATTTTTTGGTATAGTTTATTTTGCTGTTCATTATATTCATTGAGGTTCTTGGATCTGAGGGTTTATGATTTTTATTTTTATTTATTTTTGAAATGGAGTCTTGCTCTGTCGCCCAGGCTGGAGTGTAGTGGCACAATCTCAGCTCACTGCAACCTCTGACTCCCAGGTTCAAGCAATTCTCCTGCCTCAGCCTCCCGAGTAGCTGGGACTACA